CGGCGGGTGGGATAAGACTTCCCATTTCAACGTTTCCAAGTATGTCTTGACCACTTTCGTAACATGGGGTCGAGCATTGTCATGCTGCAAAATCACTTTATCGTGTCTCTCGTTGTATTGCGGCCGTTTGTCTTTCAATGCTCGGCTCAAACGTATCAATTGCGTTCGATACCGATCGCCTGTGATTGTTTCAGTCGGTTTTAACAGTTCATAATACATTTACTAGCCAAGCTAGTCCCATCAAATACAGAGCATGACCTTGGACGTCAAAATCACCATTCTTGAAGCGTTGAAACCACTCACGACACGTTCTTTCACTAATAGCGGCCTCACCATAAGTATTTGAGAGCATTCGATGAGCCTCAGCTACAGATTTCTTCATATTGAAGCAAAAAATTAAAATCTCCCGCAAATGACGAGAATTTGGCTCGTAAACTGACATTTTCAATCGAGAATAACTTTATGATGCAGATCACAAATAGACTAATGTTTCTATGTGGTTATGTTGACAGATGCCCAAGTTTATTGTATGACATCTATGATTTATTTATTTCGACCACCACTTATCGCTAAAGCCATCTATAGGAAAACGGAAGCAAAGTTGTACACCTAATACATACGTTTATATATACTTATAAAATTATCATACATGAAAAATTTTTTATATATTGTATAATAATATAGAGTATATTGTATAATAATATCAATATTAAGTAGTTATATTATCGTTACAGTTCAAAAAGTCATTTTCGCGTTTCTAAATCAACAGCTTGCACAATAGTAGATATATATATGCATTTTCCTGCATAAATTCTTTCATAACGAACTATGAATTATTTTACGTCATCAAATTACGTCATTAAATATAGCGGCAAAAGTACACTATAAAACTGCACTAAGGTCAACACATGTTTAGTTAGGAGTGCAAGAAACTCGCATTTTCGGCAAGTGCTGCTGTCATTGAACGAGTTTTTGGTACGCACTTAGTACGGCTCAGTGAAAACCGCTATAAAATATTATATATTAATTGCACGACTTTCTTGATAAAACAAAAATTATATCAAATATGATTTTTTTGATGCATAAAATAAATTAATAATCATTATAACGTTATATGGTTAAATGTATTTAAAACTGAACAATATATTTAATTACCTTATGATGTATCCGCTCCTTGTAACTTTCAGACCTGTTGATGTTTGACGTCTTTGGCTTACTGGAAATATTTTGCTGGACCCTAAATAATCATAATTGATAAAACATAAATTAATTTCTACGATGTAAATCAATTGTATAAAACGCACGCACGCACACACGCACGCACGCACGCACGCACGCACGCACGCACGCACGCACGCACGCACATTGATATTCAATACTATTGCGTAAAAATCAACCTGAAGAATAATTTTTTTAATTTTATATGAAAATTGAATGTAACAAAATTAATAAAGTCAAATCTAGAATTTAAGATGTAAAAAGTTATGGTAAGAATTCGGTATACTTTCCAAATCCAATTTCGATTAAAATTTGATAGATATGTAGTATTGACTGTTTAATCCATAAACAGTTAAGGAAATATTTGTAAAATGTTCAAAATTCATTTAATCGACTTAATTATCATTTTTTTTAATATTATTGTGAAAATATAGTTAGAATTAAAAACTACTTCGTTGATTGAATAGTTTTTTATTCATATATGGAGAAATTGTAAGTACTATGGCGACAAAATATTATTATTTATTAATAAACATTATTAAGGACATTATATATTAAAAAAAAAACAAAGATAAGAAAATCTCGGTTAATATATCGATCGATGGCTTTGACATTAATATATGTTGCTGACAAGGTCATGTCTTTGAGTGACCTCAAAGAGATTCGCATATGTCAAAGTCAATATCATCGGTGTGATCTCCTCTGATCGGCATATTTATCAAAATAAAATATTCTCAAAGGAATGAAAACTAGGCACCGGTTGATATGATGGATGTGTGTTATCATACTGTGCGCTAAAGGGACCTAATACAGAAGACGTTTAAAGTGTATAAAATGTTATTTATAACCAAATAGTTAATAAAAGATCCGATAGATACAAAATTATGTACTATTTTTTAATTAAGCTAGAGAATGACAAAGCGATTTTTAAATTAATATTTAACAAAAAGAAATCAAACAAAAACAAAATTATATATTATACAATATTTATTAACAAAGCCAGAAGATGATAATGATCTATTTGATCTAAATCTCCATTTGTTTATAATTTAATATTTAACTAAAGGAGATCGGATGCAAACGAAATTGCAGGCTGGTATTTATTAATACAAAATGCATGATATCAGTACAAACCTTTTTATCTTTTTATTTAAAAAAAAAATTTTAAAAAGGCATTAACAATATGCTTCCCGAATAAAATTTAAATATATAAAATTATACGTTATGTATCTTCTTATTATTCCAATTCGAATAGTAGCAGTTTTATTTATTCTTCAAAAATATTATTATTGAAGATATTTTTATTCTAATCCAAGTAATGACAGCTTTAATCCTCTATCAAAAATTATTATCCTCGAAACAAACTAATGTATCAAATTAAAAGTAAAAATCTAAATACAGTTATAATTAATTTAACCAAGTTAAATTCTATCAAATTAAAAAATAAAGTAGTACAATATTTGTTATTTTGGGGATATGGAAAATGAGGAAATAGTAATAAGTGGAGATTTTAATGTAAGAACAGGCGAACTAGATAATGTAGAGTGGGAAGAAGAAATAGAAAGGAGAAGTACAAAGAGAAAGACAAAGTGATAGGAAACGAAGGCAGAGTTGGTAGATTGGACACAAAGAAAAGGATGATACATTTTAAATAGATCGACGAAAGGAGGGGAATATACTTATGTAGGAGGTAATATACTTATATAGGGGTAGTACGATTATTGATTATGTGATTGCAAACGAAAATATAAGAGAAAACATAAAGGAATTTGCGATAGGAGATAGGGTGGACTCGGATCACATGCCGCTGATGCTTAGCATGGAAGGAGAAAAGGAGAGGCATAAAACAAAGAAAGAGAAAAAAAGTAAGGGATAAAGGAGATAATTATGAAATGAAGACTATAAAATATCAAGAAAAAACAGAAATCTAGCTGGCGAAGCAGATTAAAAAGGAGTAACAATAGAGGAAAAAAGGCAAAGGATCAAGAAAATTGTACATGAAGCGATAATCAAGAAGAAGGTAAAAACCAAAAGATTCGAACTAGGACATAAAAATTGGTGGGATGGAAGTTATACCGGGAAGAAAAGGGACACACAAAGAATATATAGGAAATGGAAACTAGGAAAAATAGATAGGAGAGAATACATGAAAGAAAGAAGGAAATTTAAGGAGTTAAAGGAGAAGAAGCAAAAAGAAAAGAGAAAAGAAGAGAAACGGAATTGAAAGATTTGAAAAGAGAGGAGGAAAATTTATAAATAAAAAAAGACAAGAGGATATGGAGAGATAACATTGAGACAGAGAAATGGATTTTAACCTTCTAAACGTACTGAAATAGATGAACAGGAAAAAGAAGAAATGGAGACAAAAGAGAGATGGAGAAGAAGGACAGAAAATGGAAAAGTTGAAAGAGGAAGAAATTAGGAGAACATTAAAGAAGATGAAGAACAAAAAGACCATGGGTATAAATGGAATTTCGATGGAAGCGTGGAAATATAATATACGGAAGATATGTTATGGAAGAACATGATAGAACTATTGGGACAAATTTAGAGACAAGAAGAGATACCTGAAGATTGGAGGCAAAGTATTGTACCATTATAATATATAAGAGAGAAGACACAGAATCGGTAGGAAACTATAGGGGGATATCGTTATTGTGTACAGCGTACAAATGGTACGCGGAGATTTTAAGAATTAAATTGAAAGAGGAGGTAGGGAAAAAAAACATAATCCCGGAGACGCAAACAGGATTTAAAAAAGGCAGGTGACAATGGATAACATATTCGTACTGAATCATTTGATTCAAGAGCAAGCGTAGAGAAAGGAAAGTATATGCTCTCTGCGGATTTGAAGGCAGCTTTCGACAGAATGGATGGAGGTGTACTATGGAAATTACTAAGGAGAATTACTACTATGGAATCAAGGAACAGCTGATAAGGAGATTGGAGTATATATGTGAGAACACGGAAATTACGGTCAGAACAAGCAGAGGTTTGACAGAGAAGTTCCAGTTAAGAAGAGGAGTTAAGCAGGGCTGTGTCCACTCCTGAGTCCACTCCTGTTTAACTTGTATTGTATATTGCGGGCTTTGACAGAGAGTTAAAAAATAGAAATATAGGGGGAGTTGCGGTAGATAGTATAAGGATAGAATTTAGTGTACGATATAGTGCTGTTAGCGAAAAATAGGGTTGCGCTGATAGATATGATGAATACTAAGAAGATTTTTAAAAGGTAGGAAACTAGAACTGTGCGCCGAAAAAACAAAGATAGTAGTATTTAATAAGCATGGGAACGAAAAGAAAGAAGTGGAGACATGGAAATGGGAGAGTAGAGAGATTGAGGTACAATGTTTTAAGTATTTAGGCTTTTTTAATAGAAAAGGTGATTATGAAGATCATATAATAGAATTGAGCAGGAAAAGGAGGGTGGCAGCCAAAAAGATATGGGGTTTAGGAGAAAGACTATGCAGAAACGATTTTATAAGGAGAGGGGTACTATTTAAATATAATAGTACAAAGTGTTATGGAGTATAGAATAGAGATGGGGATAGGAAGAAAGAGGAAGTCTGGAGAAAATTATGTTAAATTATGTGAAATGGAAATTCAACATAGAGTTCTGCTTCACTCCGAGATATGTAATAATGAGGGAATTAGCTATGGACAATAAGGATAGGTTGAAGAACCTATGAAACCATGAAATACGAGCCATGAAAGACCAAAGAAGATTAAAGAAAAGAAGGGCCGGCCTACTTCGATGTTGGAAATAAAAAGAAAAGAATAAAAGGAAGGATATATATAAGGATGTATATCGAAGGATATATATAAGGATGTATATCGTAAAGAAAGAGAAAGGTTTTATAGGAATGGATGGGAAATAAATGCTAGGGGACGATAGAAATGGGAGGTTAGAGGAGAAAATAATTAGGAGGAAAAGGAATGGGCAAAGACAATGGGAAGCTAGTAGGATGAGAACTGCGAGATACAATGAAAGGTACAAAGAGTTTACGGGGAATAGATGTCCCAATTATTTAAGGAAGGAAAACATATGTAGAATAGGAGTAGGCGAAGAAGTGCGAGGGTTAATTAGGCTTAGATGTGGGAATATGGAGGAAGGAAATAAATATTGACTAGATAAGGAATATAGAGAATACGTATTTTGCAAAATAAGGATAGATTTATATAAAACACTATGTGGAGGAATGCTCAAAAGTATGTTGGTTTCGGGAATTAGAAAAGGATAAGGAGGAAATATAGAAGGAATTTTGAAGCGAAGAAGTAGATTCAGATAAATGTTTTAAAATTTTAGGTAAATTAGAGAGAGAAAGAAAAAAAGAGATCAGGAAAGGGAAAACGGAGGAAAAGACAAGCGAGATAAAGACTAGCGAGGTAAAGAACATGGAGTAATATATTTAGACAGGAAGACAAATTTGCATCTAGAAATGCGTGAGACATGATTAAAGAAAAGATGTGACATAATATTAGAAATATATACTGTACTGCGACATATCTATGTATAGTTGTAGCTAGGAATCGTACTATTGTACTGTAATATAAAGGGTTTTATAATAAGGACGCTCGATTTTTAAATATAAATAAAACAAGTTGTGTATGAGATATCCACTCAATTTTTTTTTTTTTTTTTGAAAGAATATTTTATGGCATTAAGTATGGAATATAACATCGCTCAAATGTCCGCCGCGGCTTCGCTTGGTGACACGTATTCGGGCGGTCCAATTTTCGATGACTTTCTCGCATAAATCTGGCTAAATTTGCTGGATGGCGTTTGTTATGTTGACTTTGAGAACATCAATTGTTTGCGGTTTATTCGTATAGACTTGCGATTCAAGATAGCCCCAAAGGAAGAAGTCTAAAGGCGTTAAATCGCATGATCTCGATGGCCAGTTCACGTCGCCGCCGCGCGAGATAATGATCATGCCCTCAAATTGCTCGTGCAGAATGTCCATCGTGGCATGCGTGCATGTGTGGCACGTAGCACCATCCTGTTGGAACCACATGTTA